TACGCAATGTACGAAGCCGTACGTGACTCAGGCATTTCTCGTTTCTCCTTCGGAGCGTTTTCAGACCGTCGTGTGTGTTCGATCGACGGTTTGGTACACTTGACGCAGCAGTCGCCATCAGTTTTTCAGTCCCAACGTCTAATTGATATCCTGCTGTCAGTCCAAAACGGAGTTTAGGAATAACGTCATTGTCCTGTCCTAAGGCCCGGTTTCACCAACGTCGCCTAACTTCAAGCTTAGTTTAATTCGTTCTTTGTCTCGTTCCAGCTGCTACTTCAGAAAGAGACAAACCTGAATTAAACTACGATTAAAGTTAACTGGCGTTTGGTGAAACTGGGTCTAGATAGGGAAATCGATGATTCTTAAAGGTAAACGTAGGAAGTATTGTTTGATCGACAATTTGGTACACTTGACGCAGCAGTCGTCATAATTTTTCAGTCCCGTATCAACGTCTAATTGATATCGCGTCCTGCTGTCAGCCCAAAACGGAGTTTAGGAATAACGTCATTGTCCTGTCCCAAGGCCCGGTTTCACCAACGTCGCCTAACTTCAAGCTTAGTTTAATTCTGTGTCTCGTTCCAACTGTTAATTTAGAAAGAGACAAACCTGAATTAAACTACGATTAAAGTTAACCGGCGTTTGGTGAAACTGGGTCTAGATAGGGAAATCGATGATTCTTAAAGGTAAACGTAGAAAGTATTGTTTGATCGACAGTTTGGTACACTTGACGCAGCAGTCGCCATAATTTTTCAGTCCCGTATCAACGTCTAATTGATATCGCGTCCTGCTGTCAGTCCAAAACGGAGTTTAAGAATAACGTCATTGTCCTGTCCTAAGGCCCGGTTTCACCAACGTCGCCTAACTTCAAGCTTAGTTTAATTCTGTGTCTCGTTTCAACTGTTAATTTAGAAAGAGACAAACCTGAATTAAACTACGATTAAAGTTAACCGGCGTTTGGTGAAACTGGGTCTAGATAGGGAAATCGATGATCCTTAAAGATAAACGTAGAAAGTATTGTTCATGATTATCGCGATGATCGTCGGATCTCTCGAGAGAAGCCCTCGTTTATTCCATTTCTTCATTTCCGCGTTCCCCGATTACTACTCATGGCCGGGATGAGAAGAGGACAAACAGTCTCGTGCGTTCCAGGCGAATTCCGCGGTACCAACGACCGAGATAACGACCACCCAATTCGATCTCTCGCAAGAACCAGCTGGACCAAGCTGATTGGAGTCAATTAACGCGTTAACGCGCCACGAGCGGGTATGTGGAGCGGGACGCGAGAGAACGAAAGTAGGGAATGGCCGAGTTTTGAGTTGAAAGCGGGAGTGGTGGGTTTTGTCCCGGCGGTGGGTGGCTCGTGACCGGGGTGGGTGGCCCGCGGGGGTTGCTAGGTGTCGGGAAGGGGGACCAGCGCTCGTCGTCGCATACGCGGAGCGTGGTAGTGCACCTGACCTATATAGCGCGGCCGCGTAGGGTATTGATCGACCTAATTCCCGACACCGCAAGTCGGGGCCTCCGCCGCCTCGTCGGTGCGCGGAGAACTGCCGTCCGAAAATTACGTAAGCTAACCTACTGACTCACTGCGCCCGTTGACGTGGCACGGGCGGCGATGGGAGTTATATTTTGGATTATCCACACTCCGTATCTATTCGCGGCTCGTTCGCGGCGAGATTCTCCTCCGCGCGTCTCTCCGCGCGCGCGTCCCACACTGATCGCGGATCGCCATCTCGCGTTTTGCTCTTTAATCGGTGCACGAGGGCGAGTAACGTGTGCAAACTGGCCAAAAATGTGTACCGCGGGGGAAACGCGCGAGTCGGATCAGCGGGGCACCCGCGCGAGCGTCGCGATTGTTACGGGACAGCTATTCCTTCCCCCCCCCCCCCACCCCCTGTACGTCGTCAAGCCTGATTGTTCTCGTTACGGGCTAGCGGACTCGAAGCGAAGTAATCGCGAGCGAAAGCCGAAAGAGTGCAAAAATCGCCCGGCACGTCGTCTCGCGCAAAGTGCACGGAATTACGTCACGGGAGGAAAGAGTGCCTGGCTACGTTGCTCAATTTGCCGGCATCAATTATCGCAAACCCGCACGCGCGGGTACTCACGTTGCACCATGTGGCGTGCACGGTTGCGTGTAAAAGGTGGAAAGAATAAACGGTGCCTCGACGACGTAACGGAGAAATACCTTGGCGCGAGTCACTTACGTGAACCGGGTTTTCTAACTCCCTGGGCCGTCGTTTAGAGTCGAGGGGGACTCCGCGGGGAACCAACCCGTTCGCATAAAATGCCGCGATGTGACGCGCGTATTAAAAAGTTAATCCCGTTTTTTTTATTCACGCGCGTCTATTTGCTTGGCGAAAAATATTGGAATGAATCGGAGCCCGCGGTATCGCTGCACACGTCGGCGAGTACTTCAATACCAGACGTGATTTTAATATGTATCGTCCCGGATCGCGGAGAGGCCTCTCTTAAACCGTTACCGTTCGTCCAATCGCCAGATTAATTCTAACGGCGTGTTAAAACCTTGGACGCGATACAAGGTCTCGCTAAACGGTAGCCCGGGTTCGTGCACGCTTTCGTCGCCGATACCATCGCGCTTCGAAAGGCATTCGATTTCTCTTCGACGACCTTTCCTTTCACGTGGGGCAGGTCGTGCCAGGGCCAGGTGTGTGCGCGCTCTACCAAAAAGTACCGGCGGTTTGTCTACCTGCCGACAATTACACATCGCCACGGCCGGATATTGTACGAGTCTCACCTCGCGTATCCTTCGCGAGAGGATGCCCGCCGGATCAAGAGCCCGACTTCGCCCATGCTAAACGAAAAGTCGAGGTGGTGTCGTTAACCTTCGAGTTCGTCGGCCTGTCGGGCTACGACCGTTCTATCCTTTTCAGAGAACCGGCGCGGCGACTGGGAGACGGCAAGAAAATTTCGTCTGAAATGACGAGGCTCGCGGATCACAGACTCCAGACGGCTCGTCACATTAGAGTAGGCGGGACGAGACTCTTGATTGTTTTTCAATCGCGTAATCTGATAAGCGGATCTACGCAACGGCGATTTCGTCCGAGGTTTGAATAAATTCTATTTAAATGTGAACGCAATTCGAGCAGCGGTATAAAACGCGTAGTATTTTCGTAACAGTACAGGACATCGTCACTCATCCATTCAAGGGATGTGAAATTATCACGTACGCCGACTTCGCAATTTGTCCCATACGTATATCTTTTCTACCCCTGGAGAGAAATTCTAATCGTACAATACTTTACGCCGTATTGATTTAAAGTACTTGGAAATAATAAGATTAGAAATTGTGTCAGAGGTAAATTGTGGCGCGTATATACAAATGTATATGCACAGCGCTTAACTGACGTATAGCACAAAGAATTGTACGATTGGAGTAGGACTTTCAAGCAGGAAATTGCAATCACGAAGGCATTGTTGCGTTGCAGGTTTTTTCACTAAAATATCCGCCGGCTATTCCTCACCGCGACGTCCCTGCAGCGAATATTCACTGACATTCAACGGGGGTGAGGCGTAAAGCGTTCTGGGGAGTTGCGTGCATATAAAGGTGAGAGACAGGTGCCCGGCGAGGGTGCATTCACGGTCTAACGATCCGCAAACGGACGCTCCTTCGTTCTTGCTTTATACATCACGCGGATGCTCAGCTTTTTTTTTATCTTCAGCATCGAATACGATCTTCGGGACACATGGCTGTGTATACGTATATAAAAGATTTATATTTTACGTGTGGGAAACGTGTCCAGGCCTGTACCTGTCGACCCGCCAGTATTACGCGACGAACGAAAGAAGCCCCGGCACGGAGACGGAGTATTCTAATAATCTCGCATGTCTTGTCGGCGCGTCGTATCTGGCAATGACCTTCGGTATATGTCAGATTGTTAGAATACCTTTGACATATAAGGCGGTAGAAGGTGTACGAGCCATCCGGCAAACAATTTGCTTGTATTTCAATTCTATTTGCTTCCATTGCATTTCCGTTTCCTTTTCACCTTGTATCGTTGTCGATTGCCTTACTTTACTACAAGATTAATCGGCAACCGGCCGAGCTGTAACGCGAAACTGCATATATGCTGAAAAGACATACTCACGTCGCTTCGGAACAAAGGAGTCTTCGAGAACGCATTGCGATACGAAGGAGCTATCGCCGTAGGTTGAATTCACCAAGATCGCGCTTGTAGGAGTTGCATAGGATCGGAATAAGGGCAGCGGGTCGGTCTAGGGAATTTATCTTACATTATTGCACAAAGATATGGAAAATACTATTTAAATAGAACAAAGGATATATTCGGTCAGTCGGGTCGGACGCGTGAATAATTGATCGATTCCCTTTTGAGAATTTCGCGATACCAATGCTTACGACTCGAGGCGATATCCCTCGAGTTACCCGAGTCGAGATTTTGGCCTTACGTTGAACGTATTCATACTCAAATTCTATTATATAGTAGGGTCTAAGACAGTAAAAGAGGTCGAACTGCAAGTACAAAATTGACTCGTACTTAAAAACCGATAGTGTTGGAAATTTCTACTTTTGCCAATTTAGCATTAAAGTAGGTCCTTTTAAGTAGCAGCTAAAGTAAATTTTATATTACATTATAATGTCATCAAAGTAGGTTATTGCTGGTCTATGTAGGTGTGTAGATCAGCTAAGTGGGTGTAAATTATCCTGAAAAGTGTCAAAATAGTATGAAAATTTCGACTCGGGACACGCGCGCCAAATTGCAAGAATTCGAAACGTAGCGCGAGACGCTCGAATAATTTTCACGGGAAAGGTGCGTGAAATCTGCATAATCAAGTCGAGAGTTGGAGCCGCGTCGCACTGCGAACTGTATTGCGCTTTTAAACGACGTTTAAAAGGACGATACCGCTCGTCTCGGCACCAGTTTATTGTCAATCGGCGGCAGTTACTGCCGACCTTATCGGTCGCCCGAGCACACAAAGGCATTCCAGATAAGCGACAGTAATAGGGAAAGACGGGGAAAACTTACGCCATCACGTGTGGCACGTCGATAGAGTGGGAGGACGCTCGTTTACGATCGCCGGCCATATCGGCCAGCCTGGCGAAATCCGTGTCCTGATCGGCGAGTCGTGCGCTCTTCCGTGATTCGAGCAACCTGATCTCGTCTATGCGTTTGGTTAGGCTCATAGTACCCTGTAACAGAAAAAAAGAAATGACAGGTACATCGATATTCTACCGATTTTCAGCGACTCTCGCGCGCGCGCGCTCTCACGTAATATTCCGATTCGGAAAGTGAGTTTATAGGTTGCGCGTGTTTTTCGAAACCTCGCGAACATTCATGCGATTACGATGCAGTAAGAAAGCAAGTTATATATTACGATACGTATCAAACGTACACGCTTTCCTTTATTTCTCTTTCACGCCCGCGCACGTTACAGTTTGTTAAATGAAATTTTACAGTGGTAACGAGCAAATTACTTTCTACAGAAGCCCCGCGAAAGACATTTCGCACAGCTTTCAATGGGACAAAGAGTTAATTATACAAGCGCGAGGATCGTGATAGGAGACGGTAAGATTTCTAAGTGATTCTCCTGCAACGTGAGAAACCTTGGGTGCGCGACGTACGAAGCTTACGCGCGCAAGACCGCGCTCTACGCACGCGAGCGACCGTGGGGTAAACCGCTCAGGGCATTGTGGTGTACAGGATTCGCGGTGTTGCTAGCCATTAGTGGGTGTTATTTGGCCTTGCCCGGGCGTTAGAGAGGATGAAAAAGACGAAAAAGATAAAGCAATGCCCCCACTGGCCATTACTGTCTAATTTTAATTAGTAGGCATCGATGTACAGTCTTGTTCATCGCTAGGCAATTTTTGGGCATTAGTTATTTGGCCTCGCTGGGGCGTTATAGAAGATCTAAAAAGGTGAAAAGGATCAAACAAGATAAAGCAATGGCCCTACTGGCCGTTACTGTCGAATTTTAATTAGTAGGCATAGATGTACCGTCTTGTTCATTAATGCCTGGATCTCCGTTTTACTAGGATTCACACTTTTATAATCTTTATTCCCGCCTGTACATCGATGAGTTTCAGGTTGTAGTTCACGCAGCTTCTATAGAAGTATGTGGTAGTACACACAGCCTGAAACTCAGTGATTTGTATACATGAGAAAAATTATGATAAGAATGCAGGCCCAGGCATTAATGAATAAGACGGTGCATGATTTTGGTTAACGGCTTACCCCTCCGAGCGACGTAAACACTAAAATCATGTCCATACACCAATGCCTATTAATGCCCGGTGGGTATTGCTTTATCTTATCATATCTTTATCTCTTTAAATTCTTTATAGCGCCCCAGCAAGGCCAAATAACGCCCACTAATGCCCAAAAAATGCCTAGTAATGCCTACACTGACAGAATCTTCTCTTGTTTATCCTGAAAATCATGGGACATCAAGTGGGACGACATGGCATTTCGGAGTTTTTTGAAATTTCACCACACATTTTACTAGTAAAATGTATGGCAAAAACTCTCATGAAGTTGTACAAAATGCCACGTTGTCCCACGATTACATGATTTTCAGGGTAAATGCTGAGAGAAAATTCTCTCCGTGCGGTCACGCCCGAAATCAATGCCCTCGGCGGTTTACTCCTCGCATTTTTCTGTTCGCGCATCCCCGCGCGGCCGTCTCTCATCCGAAAGTCGTTTGTAAGCGCGGTCCGCCTACGAAACGTTCCGGCCGTGTCGTCGAAAGTTCGGGATTCGAGTCCCAAATGCGTTTCGCGCGGAGGCAGGTATTCGCGCAACATCGCGGAGAAAGCGCGAAATTTTGAACGTATCCCTCGGACTTTCCCTCGAGCGACCGGCAAAGTTAATTGCCAGCGATCGCTTCCTCGTGAACGCTCGGCGCGGAAACGCGACTCGTCTCCAGACCGTGCCGGAAACGCAATTCCGATAATGCCGATCGCTCGCGCCGATTTCGCGCGATTTTACGCACGAGTCCGGACGTCGCCTCCTCGCGCCGTCGATGCAACTCTGTGTTGCGAAGTGCATGTTATATGTTCACAAATTGTCGCTCATTTTTCTCGGCGCCGCGGAACAGGCACGTCATGCGAACGCCGAGAGAGTCACGTATGGCGGTCGGCTCGTACGCACGCGCGGATCTCGTACGGGAAACGAAAAAGAAGGGAGAAAAAAACCGAGTACGACAGCCTTCGGTAATTTTGCTGAACACGGGTATGCGTGGTATGCGGCTGTTATTGCGAGTTCCGGCTTCGAGTGTTTACGAGGAAGAAGACCCGTTGCTCGCGCGCCGCTCGTCCGCGGCGGACCTTACGTGTGCATGATATACGGGGTGTTCGGCAAACTGGAGCACGCGAAATGAAACGCTCGGGGAGGACTTTCTCGCCGGTCTCGTTACTCAACGGCGAATTTTCGCATCCGCAAAATCAGAGCGCGACCGGCGGCGCGGCCGCGGGAACAACGCTCTTACAGAACGCGCTAATTAGCGTAAACGTACGTTCGTTTAGCGGGCTCGTTGTTGACGCCGAGCAGCTGTTTTCACGCCTGTTTTCGCGCGCGATTACGAACGCGTTTCTTCGACGCCCCGATACGCCGGCGTGCGGCCTTTACGACTCGGCGACGTCGCGTTTCTAGCGGAAATAACCGAACGGTTTATGTTCGCACATGCCCGGCGACTTTGCACGCTCGATAGAAATGTCCTCGCGTATAAAAAAAAAAGGGCGATCCGTTTACACACCCGAGAGGTATTAACGACGGCGAACAGTGCCTTTTTGTATCGTTGAATTAAATTCAGTCACAGTCGTAATCGGGTAATGAAAATTTCTTCCATGCCGAAGCGATATGAGCCCCGATCGATGTCAGGCAATAGATTATTCACCGATACATACGTTCCATTACGTTAGAAAATAAGACTCGTTCGTCGGCGCACGCGATCGTCGCGTCGCGTTTTACGCGTGCGAAATATTTACGCGCGTAAGAGCAGGAAAGTGCACGAAATAAACAAGAACGTATCGAAGCGTTAACACAATGGTCACGTTGTATCCAAATACGCCATAAAATAAAGCCAACGGCACGCGAGGCTATTCTTCCCACTGGATCGTTTGCGAGAGCCAACCGGGATTCAGTCACTTGATCTAAAACTCCGCATTCTTATTGGCTCTTGCAAGAAACGGTCGGCTTTAAGATCGAAGTTAAAACCAACGGTACACGATACTATTTTTTTTGCCGCCGGATCGCTCGCGAGCGCCAATCAGGATTTAGCGCCAAGTTCACCCGATCCAAATCTCTGCATCCTTATTGGTTCCCGTATGCGATCCAGCAGGGAAAAGTAGTATCGCGTGTGCCGCGGGCTTAATACGCTCAAATAACATTCCAGGATTATCGGGACAGAAAATTTAGAACATATTAATAATCGAGTAAATTAAATGCAAATATCACAAGTCCACTTCGCCCTAGATCCACTGGGTCCTTCAATCTGTCTCGGCGGCGCAACCGCAATTAACGATCCCTCGCGCGTGAATCATATAAAACGCATCGTGGAATTCCGCGCGTGTCACTGCCGCGACCGCAGAAGTCACGTTCCGCCGACCCGCGCGCATACAAAACGGTTCGAATTCTCACGTTCGGAAAAAAAAGAAAAATAAAACAATTCGAGACAGCGTCGCGGTATCGAATTGCGACGCACCGCGCGCGGTGCGTGTCGCACGCGCGTGTTGAAATGCGCCGCCGTGTGCGTGAAACGAAGCCAACGACGAGGAGGCGCGGGCTGCCAACCCGCGGCCGCAACACCGTCATTATATTCGCATTATCGTGCCGGCGTATCCGTCCGCGTGCGTACAGGATCCGCGGTTTTATCGCCGATCGCTCGCGGACCGACGGTCGCCGGTGTTGCTTGACGGGCCTCGCGATTTTCACGCGAGTCGAGAGCCACTGCGCTCGAAAAGCATCGACGTTGGGGCTGTTAATGTCACCGAGGGTCACGCTGAAATATTTTCCCGAATATCAAACCCGTTGTCCAAATACGTTCGAACGCGCATACGCCCAGGAAAAAAAGATTTATTTATTGTAGATTAAACGAATGAGATACGTTGAAATCACGTTTCTCTGAATCTACTAAATTTTTATTTGCTTCTACTAAAACGTTTGAAGAAAACGATATGAATTTTCTTACAAGTTTCAGGTCTAATCGAGTATAACTTTGGTTAAGGTACAGAAGTCATTTCTTTGAAATCAAATAAAAAGTCTAGTGAGGTCAAAATTCAAAGAAAATTTGTGCGATTTCAAAGTAACTTCTTCCCGAGTGTACGCGTCGGAATCTGTGCGTGTTTAAACGTTTAGAGGTTGTTCACCTTGCGTTACTAAATTGTTCCTGAATATGTGAATTAATGAAGCGGATTATAAACTCGGGTATCTCGCCGTTGCCGTCGAGTCTTAACAATATTACTGACAATTGAGATATTAAAATACCCCAATAGTCAGTAATTAAAACAATAACGCCAGCTAAATTCAACATTGGCGATAGTTGGTGTAATTTATATTTTGAAAAAGTCGAAGGGAGCTATCGCGCGAACGAGAAAAATTTGCGGAAGATCAACACGTAGCCTCCACGAGGGAAGCTGAAATGCGATGATATCAATGCCAACGCGAGACGCCGTTTTGTTTCCCGAAAAATCCTGACCGAGGATTCCGACGAAAACGGTCAACCGCTCTCGATGGCTCCCGGCGACCATCTCGCCCAGCTTCTTAGCTCCGATCACCATAGCAGCAAGAGGTGCGAGATTGTACGTCGTAGTAGGAATTTACCCGACGTACACACGTGTGCTGATTTATCTGCGTTTCCTTAGAAATTCCGCCGGCATCCCGATAAGATGGCAAGCCTGACGATTTTCAGGTATCCCCAGGAGAAAAATCTCCCCGTAGAAAAATACACGCGGCGGAAAGTAGGCTGTTTTATACAGAACTCGCACAAGGTATGAGAAAACTAATAGCGCCCAGCTGTATATCGCGATATATTAAATGATATTGAATTATAATACACAGATTTAAGTAGCCTTTTGTCGCCAGTGATAATGACTTTCCTCTATATAGATGTATCAGACATAACTTCTCAATTTATCGCTTTCCGCGCGATTCGGTTCTTAAGCCATCGCGCGAATACTCGAAACAAAAATTGCAC